GCAAGCCAAGTCCCCTTGGCCCTGCTGGCAGTGAGTCTGAGGGCTCCGTGTGACTTCCTTATGACAACCGTCCTCAAATATCTTCACTGTGTTTTCTTTTCTTTTTTTCTGTGCAAGAGATCAAACTCATGACCTTGCCAGGCAGGCTCTTGTGCCAATGAGCTATCTCCCCAGGCTCTTTCAGTCTTTTTGAGACAGGGTCTTGTTATGCAGTTGAGGCCAGGCTTCAACTCACTTTGTAGCTCAGGCCGGCCTTGAATCAGCAGCAGCTCTCCTGCCCCAGCCTCCCGAATGCTGGAATTACAGGCATGCACCACCATGCCCAGCTTTTCATTGCTTTTTAAAACTGCATCACAGGCATTGGGGTGGGGATGGGAGGAGGAAATGCAGAAGAGGATAGATGGATTCAAATCAGTCTTCCCTGCCCAGCGAACATGACTGAGCCGGTGGGTTATTTTCTAGTTGCAAATATGCTCTACACACTGAATGAAGATGCCTACTGGGTCCCTACAATTCCTCCTGGCACAAGGACTCAGCTTCAATCTCTGCTCTGTGCCTGCCTCCAGCGGCTTGGAAGAATTGCATGACGATAAACAGGTGCCTCTCCCCACGAATTCTGGCTCTAGGCATGCAGGGAGGGGGCAGGGAGCTCAAGGCCCTGCATATGTTAACAGGCTGTCAGCTTCTCTACGCAGGCACAGAAAGCAGAAGCAGGCGCTATTCTGGTCTTGTCTGGGGAGCCATTATGTCTTGAGTTCCCAACATCATTATCTCCATAGAGGACCACTGCTCACGTTTCTCTCATTCGCATTCACTAGGAAAAGACAAGTGGGCTCTTATTTGCAAGTGGAAAGGCTTGGGGGAAGAGTGGTCATGTGCTCTCATTTAGGTAACCAGCTTCTCTGGAAAGATGCATGCTCATAATTAGAGACTGACACCTCGAGGTGACATTTCACACTTACAAGACAAGTTTAAGTTAGGCAGCAGTTGGTTCTCCAAACTAATGGCACTAGGATGGGTTTTTCACTTGGGAACAAATTGAATTCATGGCTCAGCCCACTTTGAATAATGCTGTGTTCTCCCACGTGTTAGTTTTCCTCAGGAAGGACAAGACTTATTTTACACGTGAGCATTCTGACTGTTTGGCTTTCTCCACTTCGCTCAAATCAAGGCCCCAAAACACAGATAGCTTAGACAGGGACTATAAGGACCCGCTCTAACAAAGAATATGTGATGTTCATATTCTTTCTCTCTCTCTCTCTCTGTCTCTCTCTTTCTCTCTCTCTGTTTCATATCAGGAATTGAACTTGTGCTTGCTGGGCAGATGATGAATGTACCACTGCGCTGTATTCCTGGCCTGTGATGTTTGTATTCTCAGTGTACCTGCTGCATGTGTCAGGTATGTGCTCTTAGGACTGCCAGTGACAGGTAGAAGTCTTCTTGGAGAGAGAGAATTGCATTGATTTTCTGCTTTCTCATGATGAATGGTTAGTCTCTCCAGCAACAGCTGGAGAATATTCCACTTCATTAGATAGGATTGTGCTAGCTGCAGGGAACAGAAAACCAGCCTTGGTAGCTTTTTGTACTAGGAATTGAATTTCCTCACATAACCAGAAGTCTGGAATTAGCCATTCCGGTGTTCCTGATGAATCTTTGCAGATTTCTGTCCTGCTAACCCTAGATGGTGACTTCTTTTCTTCATGTTTGGTTGCATCATCTCTGGGGAATTCACCCAGGTTTCATACAAAAAGAGGAAGAGAAGAAGAAAGAATGGAGAGCAAGGGCAAAGGCCCTTGGTCTTTTTAGAATCCTCACGCAGTATATGATTCTGGTCCCATCTCCTAGGCTAGTACTAAGTCACTAGCTGTAAAGGCATCTGGAGAGATAAAAGTTTAAACCGAACACATTGCTGCTCAGTTAGAAAAATTCAGAGAGAAAATATCCAAGGAGGGAACCAGCAGCATCTGCCCCAGGCCTTCTAGCCCCACACCTAGAGAATTCTGCTTATATCCCCTGGTGTCAGTGGCAGAGGCGGGAGGGTGAGATCATGCAGGTCTTGTGAGTCAACAACTACAACTCGCTTAAATTCAAGAATTTATAAGTAGGTCACCCTGAAAGACGATGGGGCCTACAAGTGGATAAAGGTGCCAAGTTCCGTCAAGACCTGTTCCATGAGGCAGCAGACACAGGCCACTGAACACAGTAAGGTTCAGATTGTGACATGTGCCATTATGGTCATAGGGACACAATGGTGTCACTGACAGCTAGGAGATGGCTCTAATTTCAGAAAGGTACTATTTGAATGTAGCTTTGCAGGGTAGGTAGGATTCTTACAAGTAGAGTAAGAGGAAAGGATGTTTGAAGCATCAAGAAAAAACTATAGGAGCAAAAGACTGAGGCTGGGAAAGGCAGATAATCGCACGAACCCCTTGGAATAGCTTTTAAAAGAACTGTGGCAGAAAGGAGAAGGGACGGGAAAGTAGGGCACAGAATAGGTTAGACGATGAGCAGGACAGGTGCCTGGGTGTCGGACCAGAAAGACTGAATGCTGTGTTTAGGATGTGGGCTTTCAAACTGGCAGGAAACGAGGGGCCATTATTTGTATTGTGGGAAATATTCCAATAAAGAGTGGACGAGGTGGATGTGGGGGGACTGAGGCAGGACTGGGAGGCTGGTACCACAAAGGCCTGACCTAGAATGCAAGCACTTGAAATGGAAAGAGATGCTCTGGGGAGAGGTATGGGGATGGCATCCAATTTTATGGATGAGAAACTGGTTTGGAGATGCTGCTATTTACAAAATCAAGAAAGACAGAGGAGGGGAGCCCTTGGAGGCACAGGCTGTGTGTGGGGTACATGGAGGGTTCCCAAAGGCCCGGGTGTTGAAGACTTGGTCCCCAGCAGTACCCCGATGAGGAGGTAGAGGAATTGTAAAGAGGTTAGGACTATTGGGAAGTCCTCAGATCACAGGGCAGTGCCCAAGAAGGGGACAGGGGCCCAGCTCTTCGTGTCTCTCTTGGCTTCCCATTGTCACGAGGTGAGCAGCTCTGCTCTGCCACTTGTTCCTCAGCGTGATGTATAACCTCTCTACAAGCCCAAAAGCAACAGGGCCACCTGCCCATGGATTGGAGTCTCCCAAACTATAAGCCAACATATAGCCGTTCTCTTCTTAAATTGATTTGCCTTGGGTTTGTGTCATAGTGATGGAAAGCTGCTTAGCTCATAGGGATGGATTCAGGATGAGTAGTTTAGAATTATTTGTCTGGGTCTCTGGGAGAGAGAACCAGGCTGGATATTAAGGGGTCAGCAAGTCTAAGTGATGGCAAACTTTTTGTGCATTCCATTGTCCAAGAACTCTGTAAAGGGACAAAAGGTCAACACAGCTGTTTGAGGGAGAGGCCAAAGGAATTTCAGAACGATCAGGGAGGAAGGGGGAGGTCTGGGATCCATTTGGAAGTGAGCCAAGCAACTGGAAACTGCTGTCCCAAGGTCGTGGCCTTGGCACAGTTAAGCTTGTGCAATCAAGCCAGTGTATGGAGACAAGATCACAGTTAGTGAGCAAAACCTGCTCCCACCCTGCTGCCTGCCTCTTAGGATGGACGGGCACCTGGGTAGCTTCCTGCGTCTACCTTGGAGAGCTACCTTCTGGGTGGGACCAGGTCTCCCCTGAGATTGTGAGTTGCTCCCTTTTAATTTTCCCTCTGCAGCCTGGCTGTTACACCATCAGGCAGAGGACCTGGGAAGTTGCTGGCTGAACACTCAGAATTCTCTGCCAGGAAAGAGCCTGAGCCAACAGGTGGCTCGGTTTTGGTGTTCTGACCCGTTGGCCTTTCCTTCCCCAAATAGGTTTGCTAAATCTCTGGGTGGTGTGTCTTTGCCAGCAGCTGTCCCAAAAAGCAACAGTGAGGTAAATAAAGGCAGGATTCAAGGACATCGAGAGGGCTGACTACTTGCCCAAGGACACGGGCCTAAAAAAGTGATGTGGTTTCACCTTTTCTGCCTCAAGCAGATAAAAAAGGGAAGGGACACTTGTAACAAAATCCTCAGTTTAAAGAAAAGAGAGGAGCAGAGGTGGGGGGGGTCTGTCTGAAGTCACACGGATTAGCAAGACTTGAGATAGACTTTGGTAAACAACTTTAGATGTCACAGAGACCCAAGTGACTTTGAGTCTAAGCCAGCACAGGGCCATTCAGCCCTGGGTTTGTGTTCAGGGGTCAAGCCGTCCTCCCCAGAGGAGCCCTGAGGGAGCCATGAGTTTCTTAGGAGCCATTTATAGTTTCTCTGTTGGCTCCAAAGCTATCTTGAATTCGTGGGTTTCCTGCCTTGGGGTTTTGAGACCTGGCCATTTTAAAAAAATAAGTCAGTCACAATGGGCCAGAGCTGGAAGGGACTTGTTTATTTTACAAGTGAGAACAGAGGCCCAGGGCTGAAGGTATTAGAGGCCAGACTGGGTCTCTAGCACAGCTTCCTGGGTACCAACCTGGTGGCCAGCCTTTGTGTTTGTGGTTTCTGCCCGGCTCTTCCTACAAACTCTGTTCCTAATGATAACAGTCGGTTTATGGAGCACTCGATGTGAGCCAAGCTTTCCATGGGGTCATCACCGCTTTCCTGTGTGAGGAAATAAAATATTCCAGAGGCTAGGGCTCCAGGCTAAGAGGTAAATTTCCAAATTCCAAGTTAAGTCATGGAGTAGAGGCAACATGCACTGTTCTCTGGCAGGGACAGGGTTTGGCGGTGCTCAAAAAGGCCGTTCTGGGCGCCAAATCTTTGGTTCAGGGTGGGTACCGCCCCCAGGGCCTTATCTGAAAATGACAGCTACAAGCCGAGCTGGCTCCTGCGCCTACCACAAAGCCATTCGCGCGCTGCGCCGAGCAAGCTCCCCTTAATTGCCAAGGCACCCGATTAACGTGGGTTGCCGTGTCTGAGGCTGGAATCTTTTTATTTTGCTGTCCCCTGAGATTACTATTTGGAGACACACCAGCTCCGGCACTGTGTTTGTCTGGCTCCCTTCCCACCCTCACCGGAGGAGAAGCGCAGCGCAACAGCTGACTGCAAATCCGCCCGGCGCCCGCGCGCCTCCGGGGCGGGCGGCGGCTCCTGTTGCTTCTCGGAGCTCCGCCGCCCTTTGGGACAATCTCCCGCGCGCCAGCTCCCGCGCGTGGAGGGGAGGTGGCCGCGGGCGCGGGCGCGGGCGCGGGCGGAGGGCGCGCGCGGGGCGGCAGCCGGCAGCCGGAGGGCGGCGTGCGTGCCCGCGCCCAGCCTGCGCCCCCTGCGGCCCCGATCCGCCGAGCGGGAGGCGGGAAGGCAGCGCAGGCCGCGCCCACCGCCCTGCCCCCAGCCGCCACTGCCGGCTGCTCGGGTCTCGGCGAGTCCTCCTGGGATCGGCTCGGAGGGGACGGGCGCGTGCAGGTGAGCGGCGGGGGGCGCCGAGCCGGCTCCGTCTGGGGGCAGGGGCTGGGGGGTGGACGGCCCCCCAGCGCGGGAGCGCGGGCCTGCGTGTTGCGGGGTGTGTGGTCGCCCCCGGCCCCGGCCCCGGCTGCGGGAGGCGGCTTGGGGATGTAAACAAGGAGTGGGCGTCGCAGCCCGAGGGAGGGCCCCGAGGGAGGCAGGCGGTGGGCGCGGAGTAGGCGGGGGCAGGGGGGTGCTGGCGGCCGGGGCGGGGGCGCTCCTTGCTGCCCTGAGCCTGGGCCGGGGTCCTTAGGAGAGCGGGGAAAGGGCTGCGCCCACCCCGTGTTCAGGGGAGTTTTCCTTTGTTACTTGGAGGCTGTGGACTCGAGTTGGGTGCAGGGGCGCGAGCACGGGCAGCGTGGCTGGATGTGAGTGTGGACACAAAAGCCATACAAAATGGAACTTGCAGGGTGGGGGTGTGGACCGGGTGGTGGGCAGAGAGAGGGGCGGAGGCGAAGGCACTGGGGTTCCAGGGCGCGGGGATTCAGGTCAGTATCTGCATCACTTGTTTCTCCTTCAACCCTGTTTTCTTTCCAGTGGGCTCTGATTTGCCCATTTCCGCCTTTGCCCACCGGGGCTGGTCCTGGAGAACCTACCCCCTGGGTGTCCCCGGGGTTTGGTGGGGCGTGGGAAGAGCAGCTTGGCTTTCTCAGCGCCTGCTCTGGCTCATACAAGTGGTGGAGCCGCCTTGCTTGGAAACAGGTCTGACCAGGCCCCTGCCAACCTCCAGACCCCGGGTGCGGTGGGGGCTAGGGGCGGGCGGGGTGAGGGCCGTGGCTGCTGGAGGCTTCTCCCCACCGGTATGGCCTCTATCTCCTGTTCCTTTGTCTCCCTGGCTTCATACCTGGCTGGGCACTGCTTTCTGGGTTTGCAGATGGATCAGTGGACATCCCAGGCCCCCATGAAGGGACCCCCTCTACCCCCACTCCCCTCTCAGGGTGCAGCCACCTTCATATTACGTGTGTATATGTATGTATCTCTCTTGGAACTTGGCCTTTTGCATGTGACCTGCCTGTAGTTACCATGGAAACTCCAATTCTCAGCCTCCCTCCTTTTCCTGCCCATTCCTCACCTCCATATTGCCTCCCCTCCCCCCCAATATGGTTGCCTAGATACTGGTTATCTTTGACTTGTGCGGAGAGGAGACCCTGGATGTCTGGCTCCCACTCCAAAATGACGTGGCCGTTTACCCACTCCACCCTGTCATACAGACTGTATATCCCAAACAACCCTAAAACATACACATAGCGTGTTACACACAGTCAACATGTCCTAACACACACGCCCCACACATCCTACTCGTCGTACACAACGCCCTTTCCGTACACGCCATGCACACACATATATCATACACATGAATACCATATCCACCACACCTCAGGCCACCACTTACAAAGCTTCACTCACACCTTACTCTCATGCTGTGTGTGTTCACGCCCCCTAACAATAACACATACGTCACTCCCTAGCAGATACGCTTATGCCCGTGAGGTCATGCACATGTGCACGTACACACACACACACACACACACACACACCTTCTAAATGGGTCTCTAGGCTAGCTGGGCTGAGGAAAGAAGAGAGGGCAGTTTCCTGTCCCATCCAGCCCTGTGCTCCGTGCCCAAGGGTGCAGAGAGTCAGAAAGCTCAGAAGGGAAATCCTAACCCCTGCCTCCGAATGGTGGGTTAGGTGGTGCAGAACGGGACACTGCCAGATTCCTTTACCCCACGGATTCCTATGTGCCAAATTTCAGAGGCTGGGAGAAGACCAAAACTGAAATCTCTCCATGTTGCAGTTCCAGAAATTTTGAGGCGTCCCCAGGCATTAAGACTATAGGAGGCTTTGAAGAGGGAAGGGAGGCCTGTCACCCCGCAGAGGGACAGAGCGAGAGAGAGCTCAGGAGGGCAGGAAGAGCAGGGAGGCGGGACTCAGAGGGAAGAAGAGCCAAGTAGGGAGACTGGTTCCTGTCTGGGGTTCAGGCCATTCTTCCTCACCTTGTTTCCTTGCATCCTGCTTGGCGCCTCCAGCCAGACCCACGCACCCAGGAGAGGAGCAGCTGGCAGAGGCCTCCTCCAGTGCCACTCCACAAGACTTGTGGTTTCCATGGTCATCAGACAGTGCATCTCTGAGGGAAGAGTTTCCTTGCTGGCTTTCACCTGACCTTTGGACTATTGAAGAATCCATTTAATTCAATCGTTCAGTGACCTGTGTTAAGTGTCTACTGTGTGTTAATTGCTGGGGACACTTGGGAGGGAGACACAGCCCCTGACCTTGGAATCTCAGCACCAGAAGCAGCCTTGAGGGAGCATCCAGCCAGGACATAAGTGGGGAAACTGAGGCACAGAAGTAATGGTTGAGGCCATTTCGTTTCTTAGGCAGGAGTGCAGACCTCACAGTGCCTGACCAGCATCTCTTGTGTTCTTTCTGTGCTAGCATCAGTCTTTTGGAGCTGATGCCCCATTGCGATGCTCCATTGTGAGGTCCCCTAGTGGGTGGGGACGGTCAATGAACTTGTTTTCTTGGAAGGTAAAGTGGATAATTTGGCAAAGAGAGGTGGGAGAAGGAACAGTTTCTTACCCTGGAAACACCCCACAGTCTTCAGTTAGCCCACCTCGCTCCCCCATAAATCAGAGCACATGCTGCCCCCACCTCCATCCTCTTGGACTTAGTCAAGGACCATCTGGATGGCAGGCAGGGCCAGGCAGCCCCTGGGACTCCCTGTCTAAGAGCTCTCCTGTTAAGTCTACCACAGTAACTCTGCAAGGAACAAATCAGTCCTGAAAGCACAGCTGGGGGGCGGGAGAGCCTAGGGCAGGAAGCCTGCGTCTAGCCAGCTCTGCCCCTGTGCTGCTGAGCGCCCCAAGGACATGGGTACCATATTTGTTCTACAGATATCCTTGGTGTTGCAGACAGGGTTCTGGTGAAGTCTAAAAATGGCCTTGACAGCACTCAAGCAACCAAAGCCTTTAAGATCTTTGACCCCTGTTTCTGTATGGAGGTTCAGAGTCCTGATTTCTAAGCCATATCTTCCTCTAAATTTGTGTGAATTACACAATTCTGAGATCCCTTTTCTCTCCAGGCACCAAACTGTACTTAGTTATTTCACAATACAGGGCACAGCTGAGCTGAGCAAAAAAGGGACTAGTCTCTGGCTATTCCCCGGAAGGGCCCCCCTTCACCCAGTGGGGCAGGTGGTGTTGGAAGAATGGAGACTGCATTTCTTCTCTTGAGCTTGAAGGACGGCCCCTCCTGGGCTGGGTGGAGCCTTTAAAGTGCCTCCTCTGGAGAGGACCAGACCCACAGTCAGCAAGGGACGGCCTCCAAGAGGTTGGACATGACTAGATCTCAGGTGCAGCATCAGCGCGTCAAATGGATGGGGCTGGGAGGATGCAAGTGAGGGGGCCACAGTGCAGGTGAGAGAGTGAGGGTGGGGGAGATGAGGAAGTACCCTGGGCGCATGCTCTTGGTCAGCTGGAGAGGTAGCAGGGAGAGTGTCCTGTCCTGGCTGTCTGTCCCTGACAAGAAGCCGGCTATCTCTGGCTGACACAAATGCTTTGGGCCATTTGGCAGCATCTTATCTGTTCTGAGATAGGGAAAGTGGAGGAGGTTCAGGAAGAGGGTGGGGACCCTCAGGCCCAGACTAGACCCGCGTGGAACCTTGGGATGTCTCCATGCCAGCTCAGAATACTGGATTTGGGTGCACAAGTCCAGAGATGAGATTGAGGGGTACCTAGATGGAATGACAGTGACTCCAGTTGGAGGCAAAAGCAAGCCTGTATTGGAGACCAAAGGCTGAGGTCTCATATTTAGTCATTCAGCCCTTAGCAAATGTTTACCGAGTTCCTTCCCTGACCCTGGCCCTGGCCCTGCAGGTGTCTCAGGACTCAGTGCTGCTGTGGAGCAATGTCTCCAATTAGCTGAGCCCTTCTGCTCTGGAGGATCAATTGATTTTTTTCTCAGCCACCTTCCTCCTGCCTACTTTATGTCACTTGCCCTGACCCTCACGGTGGCCTCTCAGCCTGCATCCTCCCAGCCCATGCTGCAGGTAAGGTCTAGTCTCAGCCTCTTGGGGGCCCCTGTTGCTGGTTAATAAGGGCAGGCACTGTGCCTGCCCTCCAGGCTGTCTGGAGTCTGGCTGCTGCTAGGCACACGTCAGCTGCTTCTCTGAAGCCTTCATTTTCCTGCTGGGATGTGCTCTTGCTCCTACCTGTGGAGCAGGGATTGGCAGCCGTTGCACACAGATTTGGGTTCTACCGTGGATTCTGGTGCTTTCTGGTTTTCTCAGCTTTTCTAAGTCTCCGGAAGCCTTGTCTGTCAACTGAGCGTGAAGACTGAGTAGGGTGAGCTCTGGAAAGTGTTAGCACGGTGTCTAACACGCGGTAGACGCTCACTAGCTACACCTGCTGTAATAGCAATTATGATAGCTAGTCCATCTCACTCTTGCTAGAGTGATAGCCTTGGTGATAAGTCATCCTTTGAGGCTCCTGACAAGTGCTTTCTTTTGAGCAGCTAATTTTCTTAATTCCCCATAAGCACTGCTTTTCTCCTCCCGTACCCCTGACAGCTCTGCCCCTTAGGGTCTGTGCCTGCATTTTTGATACGTGTAGAGCTGCCTCTTCCCGCTGACCCTTCCCCCTTGGCCCATGGAGAAAGCCCCGTGAGCACTTATGAACCGAGTGTGTTTGGGAAGAGTCCTTATGCACCAGGCAGTGTTGGGTCCCCTTGCACGTCCACCGGCCTCCTTGCCTCCCATTCATCCCCCTGTGCACACGGACCGTTCCTGGGGGACATTCCTTTCTTTCCACTCATCGCTTTGGCATGACCACTTCCTTTGGTGAAGTCTGAAAAGAAGAAGTTGAGCCCCATTTAGGGTCTAGGAGGTGCTTAAGGGCTGAAGTCACCAGACGGAAGCTGATTCTTAATTGTGTTTTGGGATTTGTCATAGACCTCAAAGGCAGAAA